TTTGGTGCAAGAGTTCAATTTTGGGCATTTTGTCTTGATGTTAAGTTTAGGTTGGGCTAGTTATGACATCAAGCCCAATTTATTGATCAAAATGGCGCAGATGATTGTCACAAGGAGTTTAGAAAAGGTTTGGAGTGATTTTGAATTGATTTTGATTTTGAAAAGGTTTGGAGTGATTTTGAATTGATTTGGGGAGTCAATTTGGTGGCATTTGGACATTTGGTCAATTTTGGGTAAGTTGGGTTAGACTTGGGTTTGAGTTGGACTAGATTTTGGCTATGGCCCAATTTATGGTTCAAATTCATCCTAAGGATTGTCAAGAAGTGTTTTGGATATTAATTGGATGGAAATTTTAGGTTTATGAAGTTCAAACTGGTGGAATTTGGGGACATGGCTAATTTGGAGAAAATTTGGGGATTTTGATTTGAATTGTATTTGGGTGAAGATTGAGCTCAAATTAGGATTATTTAGTGACTCAATTTGGTTAAGGGGAATTTCGTGAAGGGTTTTGGACATTAATTTGGGGGAATTGATTTGATCATGTGGTTCAATTTAATGAACTTGGGCTCTTGAGGCTTTTTTATTTGGGTTGGAATTAAATTCAAATGTGGGTCAATAGAGCTTGGATTTGTTTTCAATCAAGCTTTGACATGATGAATTTGAGTTTAGAATTGAAATTTGGGAAGATTAGGATCAAATTGATGGACATTGGGGGTGAATTAGGGTAATTGGGCCTTTAAGTGTAATTTGGGTCTTTTGGTCAAAATAAGTCAAATTGGTCAAACTGGGCTCAATGAAGTAGTCTAAATTGATTTTGGGAACATTTGAAATGATGTTGAAGGTTTTGGGACAGTTTAGGTCACCAGGGGTATTTTTGTAATTTTGGCAAAATGAAGGGTATTTTGGGAATTTTGAAAATTTTGGTATGTTTTGGGCAATTTGGGTGGTTTCACATGGTTTGAGATGATTTTTGAAGAAATTTGGGTATTTTGAGTGATTTTGAGAATTTTGGTCAATTTTGGGGTTTCAAGGTGTTTGGTAAATTAGGGTAGATTTTGGGAGCAAAATGCTAGGTTTGGTATTTTTTGTAAAATTGGGGTGTCAGCCACCCAACTTGAGCTATTGGACCAATAGAATCCCCTACTTTGGGTCCTCCATGTAATGGTCTTAGCTAAACCCTAGCTGAGGGCTAATGGTTTAGGGGACCATTGTTTGTGAGTCTCCTAAAGGGTTAAGGGATCAAAGTTAAGCATGTTTGGGTTCAAGGTTGTGAGTGAAAGTGTAATGTGCAAGTGTGTGAAACTAACCAACATCACACCATCCAGGGTTAACCCTAAGGCTAAGCAGTCCAATAGGGACTCCCCTTGAGCTCCTCCATACTGACTCCACCTACTAAGTGCTAGAAGTTAGAACCAATATGTGGAGCTTCAAGTTGAGCAAAGAAAAGTTTAGAGTTTCTAATTATGAGGGTTCCTTTACTATTCCTCTAGGAATAGTCAACAGAAAAGTCCTGTGGCTAGAACCTAGGCTATTAAAGATGGAAACTAGACCTCAACCAAAAGTGAGGTCAACATTTATTTAGCTGCTCCCTATTGGACATGGCTCATTATAAGAAAAATCTCCCTAATATACTAGTGCTCATGTACAAACTCAATAAACACACTAAAATATCAAGCAAAATATAATGACTAGCAAACACGTCATACTAATAGTCATGCATATGAGAAAATTAACTACACCTTAACCCTAATTATAAGCAAACATCTATAATGTGTTGCCTAACCAATACCTAAGTGACAGTCATGTAGTGTAGGGCTAAGGGCATCATTATAAGATATAAATAAGATCAATAAAATTGGTACGATCTCGGGCATCTAAATAAATTAACAATCATCATGTATGTGACGAACGTTGAAACAATTTTATGAGATTTGATTGTAATATGTTAATTTACATTGCCTATTAAGATAGACCAACAACCAATGTAAATTTTTCTATTACTACCACATGTCATAATAGGGTTCACGAAGTCCCTCCAAAAAAGCGCTGACTTATGTAACATAAGCCTAAATAGGAAGGTGAGTTAATTTACTCGGACAAAGAAAAATATCCAATATCTAAAAATACACAAAACACCCCAAAGATGCAGATACAAAATATTGATATCTAGTGAGCAAAATTTACTTACAACAAATGTGTCAGACATATGCATTAAAAATGCAACCAATACGACATAAAATCATACATGAACCACAAATCCATATGTGACATGTGAGCTTAAAAATCACAAAATGATCCTTATGATCGTACACGACAAACATGCCACATAAATGAAATACCTATGAATTCCAAAAAATTAACACCACAAAGCCATGTAGGTAGCACTATGGTATTGGTCCTCTAACATTGAGAAAAGAAGGGATGGTGGCTCCATGATGCTAGCCACTATCATCATCAAACACAAAGGTGGCAGTGTTGACACACTACACCTAAATGCTCACTAATGACCTTAACTAGTGGCATGAATCCAACGTATGTCCTAACACCTCATTAGGTAGCTTTAGAGTTCCTAAAAAAGACAAAATGGAGCTTATGTATCTTTACTGATAAAGTGAGCCCACTAGTCTGGCCAGTCGAGTCAAGAAAAAGTATCGGGTTAAAAATTAACTAGCTCAGAATCTTGAAAGATATGAGCCCATACTAGTTTGGAACAAACTGGGATCACTCATTGACCAAATAAAAGAATGAGCGACGACCATGTTTACAAAAGGGTGTAGCCAATGAACTACAGTATATACCTTAACTCTGAAACCTAAAAATGACAAAACTTGAAATCCATGGCAAAAGTGTTGAACATGATTAGATAACTGAACGACTAATTGTCATTGAACTATAAGAAAATGATGTACTAACTACGTGCACATGAGAATAAAAATTCTCATGTAAGCATCAAAGCCATGGCACCAAGAAGTGAAATTGAGACGTATATGGCAATAGCTGCAGCGATGCGGGGCCCAAAGGTGACACTCTGATGATGGAAGGCAGTGATGTAATGCTGGAAGGTAGTGTTGCGGTGTAAAAGCTAACTAAGTTTCTAGGCTCGATTCAATTAGGAAAATGAGGATATTGGGAAGGCGACCTAACCTCGGGTTTTTCTCTAGCACATAAAAAGATAAACTTATGCCTCTAACATCAACATATTAGGATCCAAAAAGAGAGAAAATAGGAATAAGATTTACAAGAATCACTGACATGAAGATTGACATCGCCCTTCTTTTTCTAAGCAATATATGTTGTGCACACACTCCAGTCAGAAGCTAGAAAGCTATTAGTGATGCGCTTTGTCTTTTGAAGCTCCTCTTTCTAGGAACCAAAGACTTGAAAATGAAAGAAGAAAAAATCCTCCCTAGCATAAACTAGGAGTGATAAGATAAATAAAGAAAAAACTAGCCTCCCCCTTTTCTTTTCCCAAAGAGGCTCTTCTTCTAAAGCAAACCAAATTAAAAATACATAAATCTCCTTCTTTCTTCCCTCCAATAGTACAAAAATGATATTTTAAAGCCTCTTGGAGTCTACCTTATTGGTTGGTTTGGAGGCGGGGATCATTCTACACTTTCATTGGATCAAAAGTGGATTGAAATGGTCAAAATAATAGAAAAATTTTCCCAAACATGAAAAAAACTCAATTATGGGGCCAGATGAATGTGTGCATACAAGTAAGCACATGTACGAGTGCAGAGAAGCTGCGCACGTGCATGCAAACAATGTTTGCATGTGTGCGTCATTGACATTTACCTGTTCACACAACCAGTGGCGCATGCTAACAACACGTGGGGCTTCTCAAAAGTATTTTGTGTCGTGTACCTCACATAATAATGGAATGCAACTCAAAATATTAAGCATATAGTCCACATAATATTCACACAAAAAAATAACACCAACAATTGTCTCGTAAAAATTGTCCAATAAAAAGTATTTAATAAGCATCCAACAAAATGAGCACTAATTTAGGCTCAAGAGAAAAGTACATCCATCATCCATCTAGTTAAACATCTCTTTAAAACAACCAAAATGTTAATGCTTTTAATAACTTTCCTTCTTCTTGCCAACAATAATTTAAATGGAATCCTTACTAGAAATTTGAAAAAGATAACATTTGTGAAAATTCTAAAAATATAAGCAACATTATCTTTGATGGTAGATAGTAATTTGCTACACCCAAGACAATTTAAAATAGGCTAAAACAAGAAAACTACAAGACCACTAAAAGAATAATAACTGATATAGTTAGCATTCGTTACCCAAAATAATTTAAGAACAAAACTACCTTAACTCTCATACTTGATCCATGAAACTAATTAGAGGTTGGTTTGATGCCTACATCACAATTTTTTTTCTTCAGTATTATAGAGAAAAAAAAAAGTATACAAAAATGAAATTCACTTGCAGAAATCACACTTATATAAGTATGCAATGCATGAAGTTAGATTTGACAGGACAATGGTCAGTTGGAGTCAGAGGAGATAAAGCAATGTATAGGAATGATTAATTTGGAGTGAGAGGAGATGAAGCACGAAGGAGAGCTACACTTCCACAAGAGAAAACATTGCGTACGTAAGACGTTCGCATCGCTGTATATGTTAGGGATGTTATTCAGAGTGTATTGAGGGATTGTATCCGCGTTACACCCATTGTAACTTCCCTGTAACCTTTGTAAACTACATGTACCTTTTAGTAAGTCTTGCGCTTCTGTTTTCATATATTTGTAGGTTACAAGTAGGTTACATGAAATATAATGCGGACCCAATACCCTCTGAATAACCTCTTTGACGTACGCAGCATTGCGTACATGTTACGTACGCAAAATTTTCTCCTTCCATAGGGGAGAGGATTAGTGGTGTTAAAAGAAAACTTTTTATATATTAATAAATATGTTTGGACATAATATATATAAATAGATATTTTTGAAGTCGTACGCATGCAAATCGCCATAATTTCATAACGAGCCTTCATAAAAATTTCTCTGGACTGAGGAAAAGTTTTTTTGTCTACTTCGGTACACACTTTCTAGCCGAAGGGGAACCGAGCTAATGGCAGATGGCGAAGAAGCTGAGAATCGTAAACCTAGCTCCGCCGCAAGAGTATTTAATATCAAGAGCCAAAAGCAGGAGGGCAACGACCTTTTGGGCTCCCCGACCTTCATCGATCTCGGTAATGGTCGTTGGAGATGCGAGGAGACGGGACATGATCTTCCTGCTAGGGAAAAGGAATCTTACTCCCTTTCCAAAGCCTGCCGCCTCGCTCTAATCGACGCTGCTCTTGCCAAGAAGAATCCCCTTCTCAATACGTTTAAACCCCACCCCGTCTTGAAGTATTCGAAGTCTTTTCTACTCTTGCGAGTTTGAATCTTCCGTCTTTTAATAAGTTTTTGCATATGATGTAGGTCGATGCTGGTTTGCTGTCTGACGGGGGATGTCATCAACAAATCGGAGGAGCATATATGGAAGCATATCAATGGGAGGCGGTTCCTTAAGAGACTGGGTTTGTTTTTCTTATTTTTAGCTGTGAATCTATTTTTTTGTCAAATAAAGTGGATTTATTGCTTTCAAGTGCATATATGATTTAGAACGCACAAATAAGACGAAGTTTTTCTGAGTTATGGGTTTTGAGAACATTCTGTTCGAAATATCACTTATGGTCAAGTGCAATGTAGATTTTGTGTATATTCTTTGAAATAATTTCTTATGCAATGCTCCTAGAACCTTAATGTTTTGATAAATCCTGTTTTTATCCTGTTATTAATAAATCTAAGATTTGAAAAATTTATCATCCGCCGGATTTGATGAAATTAAGAATTTCTCCTTTCATAATTTTTAAATCTTGAATCAAATAAAATAATTTATTAGAATTTAATATGATTTAATAATCTCCATGTCAAACAAACTTCAGGTTTTACCTCTTAAGATTCTCTATATTTGGTTTTGCTTGATTTACTAAATCTTACTTGTTGCCAAACTACCCCATGAGATGGAGACATTTTAACACCTGAATCTACTTGACATTAAATACGTGTGCTATACCCTCAAACTCAACCCATTTTGATGCATATGATTATGTTGCATTTTATCTATAAGAGAAATTCAATGTGAAAGGAAGTGATGGACTGTCATCTTATTTTCTATGATATAAACTTTAGAGATAGCATTGAAATGTGCCTGCTTAAGTAGAAAAAAAGGCATTTTCTGAGGAGTGTAGTGTTGTGGAGTCTGGGGCGAACATCACATCTTTTTATGGCATATTGAATAGAGCTCATGTTGAAAATGTGTTGATTTATGAGTTTGGAGAGATTATCTCTAATTTAAATATGTAGGTTTGCTAGGTTTCTCTGTCTTTTAGGTGGAAGTTTAAAAGTTGTGCTTTTGCTCCACAAATTATTATGCATTTGAGTTAATCATGAGACCATTAGTATCCTTCAAATATATGATCTTGTGATTGACTTTTCCCAATTATTATTTTTTATTTAATTTTTTATTTTTATTTTTTGATTATGCAAGTGACAATGTTATGGGCATAAGATTTCACTAAGCTCCTAATGGTTGCTACAAATGATTTTATAATGAGTTTCTAGAATTTTAGCTAATGTAGTCCATGTGTTCTGATGGACTTTAACTGCTGTAGAGAGAGTCTGTTGGCCGAAATGGATAGAAGGAATGGTTTAGCGAAGTGAATTTAGGAACTTACATTTTAGAAGTTGTTATTTAAGACGTTTTCTTTTTGTCATTGTTGCTACTAGAAACATATGATATTAAAGTAGTTGTTAGCTTTAATATGTTAATGTTAATTAGGTCTTATTCTTTTTTACTTTTAAGGTTTGAATGAAATTATCATAGAAAATTCAATTCACAATTTTGAACTAATATTTTCTTAACATAAATAAAAATTTAAATAAATATCTCCAAAATATTTTTGACCAAAACCCCCCAATTGAAAGATGAAGGATAATCCTTTATATTTGCATCAATTGTTCAAACATTGTATAGTTTGAACCTCTCCCGCAAGAAATTTGTTTGAAATGGTCTCCTAGCATGATTTATCTTGTAGTTGTTCTATCACCTTCACAAGAACTTTTTTTCCACCAAAATTTCTTATAAAAGTGACTCTTGACGTCACATTATGCTGCTCATCTCGCTGAACTTGATGGATGTGGTGCACTTTAATTTTTGAGTTACTTTACTTTCCATTCCAGTGTCACCTTCTCTTTGCCTTCCATTACCCACCTTCATAAAAAGACTAGTTTGAAGCTAGGATTAATCATGATATATGAATGTGGTTAGAATTGTCGATTTGAAACTTAGGTCTAAACTAGGTTAGAAACAAGTTCAAACCTATAATATAGGGTTCATACCTAGTTTAAACTAGTTTTAAATTGGTTCAATCCTGCACTATGATGATTGAACATGATTCTATCTGGTTTGAACCCATGTTTGAACTTGTTTGTATTCAACATATAGTATTCAAGCTAGTTTCAATCCTCTTTTGTCCATTCAAATCATGTTTGATCCTAGTTCGAACCCCGCAATTTCGAACCTAGAGTTTAAAATCTAGCTTCAACAGTGGATGCATACTGATAAGTGGATGGAACCTGGTTCAAGTTTAATGGCTATTATAGGGTTTGAACTATGTAATGCCACTAGAAGGTGGTTCACAGATTTTTTTTTATGGTTCGAATCTATTGGCCTCTATGGACTTAACAATTGTTTGACTTGCTATGTTATGAATAACAATGTCAAAGCTTATTATTCCTATACATAGATTTTACTTATCCGGGGTTTTACATAGTGCTGGTGGTATTATGGGACAAAGTAATTAAATAGTTTGAAAGTTGTGAATTGATGCAGAGGGCAAAGAAGCCACCATAGAATAGTTTTTCAATGCTCCTTCCCACAATATTTTGGAGCATTGATTCATTAGTTGATCATAAGTAAGGTTGATATTATAGAGGATGAATGTTACTCCATTGTATCCAAAATGTGATATAACAATAGAAAATTTGATATTATTGAATTTGCATTCATAACTAAGTTGGTTTTTGCGAAATCTCCTAATGATAACCAGTTCAAGGAGATGCAAATAGTATAGGATTAGTAAGGATTTAAATAATAGGCACAACATTAATATTTTCATGGAGGCATTGAGAGAGAGAGAAAGAGGATGTTTGAAAGTTAGGTTTATATTTGTTGTTGATGAAATGCTATTGAATCATGAGAATAAAAATATTATTTAAATAGAGATTATCTATGATAGAAGAATAGGATTTTTTTTATTTTTTTATACTATAGCCTATGTTAGAGGAAATATGTTATATATTGATGTGGATATCAAAGATTGAGAAGAAATTTGAGAAGTAATCCTAAATATAGTATGTCACTAGTCGGTATGCCATCTAGTATTTGGATTTTGTGGCTAATCTAATAGTGGGAAAGGCGCGCAATGATTTTCTTGGAGAAAAGTTTCCTAGTATGTTAAGTTGGTAAGCTGATAAATATGCACAAAGGTTTTTCATTGGCATTTGGTAATAAAGATTTATGTTAGTTTCATGCAAATGTATTTTACATATTAGCTGTAATAAATTGATGTATAATTTAACTATATGTTACCTTTGTATTCAATTAGTATTTTTATAGATAGTATGAACCGTACAGTGGAATATTTAGTTGGTGAGAAAGAGTTTTGTAAGTCTATAATATATAATTCTCTTCAGATCCTTTCATTGAAGCAGAAAGAGCCACCACAAAGACTGATTACTATAATAAACTTGATATGGTGTAAGATGAACTTATTTCAAAAGAATGATTTCTTTCTGAAAACATAGAAGATGAGCAATGTTTCACAAGAAAATAGATGGACAACTTAAAAAGAAAACCATCTTTTTTTCAAATACAACCATTGGTTTCTATTATGGAAGGAGAATAATCAAGTGGGGAAGGAGAGTCATATATTTAACTTGTCATTCTAGTAAAAGGCACAAACTAATAAATTTATGTGTTGTGGTTCCCCTTTGCCTGATCAAGATAGTAACAACTATTCTACTTAAAAACTTGAATGACTAGAATAATAGACAACTCAAAGGAAAGAGAGATTGATTGTGGCAGTGGGACTATATTATGGTTTCAACAATTAAAAACATAAGCAATGTGACTATGTGGTAACATAACCTTTCCAATTCTTAATTTTTTTATGCTAGTTGTTTAATGTTTACATTTCAGCATTGTGGTTTAATGGAGAGTTTTATTATTATTATTATTATTTTGGCGCACAGATGTTTTATGTTTTTTGATAAGAGAGCAGGTTTGGGGATACCCAAAGATATTTTGAACTAATATCATCATTTTGAATTAATTGTTTGATCAACACTATAAATCAACACTTACTGTGTTTATTAAATAGAGGAAGTCGAATACCTTTTTAAGTGGTTGTCGATGGGTTTAGAATATGTAATTGAAGTTGATGAATAATACATGAGGTATTGCAAGGATGTATATTTCATATATTTTCCGATGAATTGGCTACATTTTCATCAAGTATATTGTAAGATTTATTGCTCAAGGAAATGATTGACTGACCCTTGCTGTAACTTTTCTATTTTTTTAGAGGAGATGATGAACTCTCATTGCAAGTCTTTTGCATACCTATTAGAATATTTTAAGTTCGTACACAGAATATATTGTATTCATACAATTGCTTGTGCCATTACCTTTGCAGTGGAAGAGGGACAGTTTAGATAAGCTGCGAATGTTACAATGTAACAAACTCATGTGAATATGATATTATAATAAGTTTCTAATGCTTTATTTGCAATGATAATTGTGGAGTGTTAACCATCCAACATACATATCTCATTTAGAGGGAAAATATCGAAGAAGTTACAAATGATCATGTTCAGTTCTTTATACAAACCTTTTGTAAATTTTCTTTTTAATAACTTCGATCCTTCGGCTTGTGTATTGGTAGTATTAACCACTGCAACCTTTTATAGAAAACTTTTGATTAATCCATGAAACTTGTAAGATGTAAAAACTTTAATACACATTTAAACAAAAAGTGAAATTATCATCTTACATGATGATGGTGGTCTTTTGGCCTTTTATTCTATACCTTTCACTACACATCAATTGCATTTGCGTTGCATTGCATTTTTTAATTTTCCATTTTGAATGTCTTCTATATTTCTTTTGGACAATCACTCTTCAACCTCACTAATGGAGCTCGCACATTAAGCTCCTTTTTTCATCTTGAGTTTCTCAATTATCATAACTTTCTATTGGATATATAATTTCAGAAAATGATATTCTTGTTTCTTCAGTATAAAATCATGAGTATAAGTTATCGTATGTACTGCATGTTCACACTTTTTCAATTTATATATATATAGTTAAATGGAATTGCCATAGGCTATTATACAAGTCTCCAACCACTCCTAATATGTCTAACCATTCGAGTATCATCCTCCTTCGCGTTACTAGAGGAGGATTCAAACTCCCGACCTGAGTGGTCTTATACTAAGGATGCCAACCAACAGGCTGGGATATGCGACATATACATATATATATATATATATATATATAAATATGCGTGCGTGCGTTTGATTTTATTGCTATATTTTGTATTCACCGGCATCTACTTTTAGTAGTTTTATCATTCTCTTGTTTTTTTCTTTCTGAATATTCGTCTGCTAACAGAAGAAAAAGAACTAGAAAGGCTGGCACCACCAGAAAAAGTTGATCAAAATAAAAAGGAGAGAAAAAAGAAAAATTTGAAGTTGAAAGTATCTTCTGTCCAGAAGAACTGGGAACTTGAAGCTGATGGGAGTGGTTCTTTGGCAAGGGATCCTGAGACTGAAAGCACTGAGGCTGAAGAGCTTAGTTTCTGGGTCCCTCCTGTTGGAGAGCGTTGGGACTTCGATGATGGAAGAGATCGTTGGGAATCTCAATACTCATCAGATCAAGAAACAGAAGCCGAGTATAACACTCCATCAGGTAAGACGAGGAATGTATACAACAATAACAACAACAACCAAAACAACAACAACTAGAAACAGAAGCCGAGTATAACACTCCATCAGGTAAGAGGAGGAATGTATACAACAATAACAACAACAACAACAAAAACAACAACAACTAGCATGAATCCTTTTTCTCCATTGCGTCCTATTGAGTGACATTTAATAGATTAAGATCATTTTTAATACAATATGCTCAAGTCTTTTTAGGTCTACCTATACCTATCTTAAGATAATTGGAATCTAAAACATCTACTCTCCTAACTGGATCATCAGATGGTCAATGCTTAATCTGACCAAACCATCTAAGGCAATGCTCTCTAATTTTGTCCACCATTGGAGCTACACCAATCCTATCACAGATATATTCAATTCACATTTTGCATCTATCTGTCAAGTCATACTCATCCACCTAAGCATTCTCATCTCAGTAACACTGAATTTTGTTTTATACTTCTCTTTCAAAGGCCAACATTATGCGCCATAGAGCATTGTATGTCACACTACCTTTTTATAAAATTTTTCTTTCAGACTGTGCAATACTTTTCAATCACACAGTAAGCCCGAATGTTTAAGGAAAGAATATTTTTTCTTCAATAATGATTGCAATCCTTTGGTTTGTTGCTTATTTCTGAAGCCTTTGCTTGTTTGTGACAATGTTTTTCTTACTATTCCATGTCATATTCATATAAATTAGAATTTTTTTTCGTAAATTGTTACATAACTTCCACTAGCTTGAGGTAAATAAGAGTTGCACAAATAAATTTACAAAAGACAAATTGGGGTCCACCATACTTCCATTAGCTTGTAACTTCCACTAGCTTGAGGTAAATAAGAGTTGCACGAAAAGACAAATTGGGGTCCACCATACTTCCTTTAGCTTGAGGTAAAGAAGAGTTACTCAAGTAAATTCACAGAAGACAAATTGGGGTCCACTATGCTCAGGTGACTTCAATCACATACGTCCCAGTATAAGTGTATAAATTTTCTCGTTTTTATTGGGTCGTCTAAGAAAAGCAGCCCCTTTATTTTCTGTAGTCTGTTTGGATGGGTGCTAAAGGAATAATATAAATGAAAAAGAAGAGAGAGAGAGAGAGAGATATTCCTTAAGTTCTATTATAAGAGATGTTTAACCTTGTCTTCTGCATTGCATGTAGTGTTGAATGAGGTAGAATCATTGGAGCTCTCGATGTGGTATGTGTAACTCTCTTTTTCCTTAATTCGAACTTGTGTTTTTTTGTCTTATATTCTCTTACCGTCTATTTGCAGTACAAAACGTTTATCAATTGCATTGGGTCCAAATTGCTTTGCCAGAAGAAAGAAGAAGATGAAAACCTAAGACCTTCGCCACTTCACCAGGTCTTTTCTGCAGGATTTCTGGTATTTGATCTAGCTTTTATATAGTTTCATTCCTGATGAAGTTTTTGTTTGATGGTGATGGAAGCTTCAGTTTCCATCCAAGCTAACCGCACACTTGTAAAAACTTTTGTCTAATAGCTAAATTTTATTGTGAAAATGTAGTTAAATTGTTATTTACCTTATTCAAAATTTCTAGTTGTATTGTAATCTTTGTATCAAAAATTATTTGAGATGTGAAAAGAGATTCCTATAGAATTTGAGTGCCGGATTCAAATGTGAAACGAGCCTTGTTTGATTTTTTATCTGAATTTTGTTCAGTCCCAGTTTGTTTGTCCAATTACTGAAATGTTACTTCTTATTTAATGATATTAAACCTTGTTTTAGACCATTTGGTCTTCTTTGAGATGAATGCAACCATAGGATTGTTTGTTGTGCTGTTCTTCGCTGTGAAGCGTGAATCCTTTATTATTATTTTTATTTTTTTGTTTGAAGAGTGAATCTCACGATCCAAGGTAACATGCCATTTAGGCTTCTTTTGTAGAAGATTTACTGTTCCTCCAATTTCTTTTAAAAGCCGTGTTCGTCGAACTGGAGGAGACAGCTGCGATCATAAACTGTGCCTCACCAAATGAAAAAAAAAATTCAGGCACTCCAACCGAATGAAACTTTTATCGTCTTCTCAAACGTAGCCATACAGTGAAACAGACATGTAAGCTATTATTTCCTTTTTCTTGAGACAGCTTGAAAAATGGATATCCATGGTAAGGGGTAATTTTGCAACTACAGTTATGTTTTTAGTGGCAATTACACAAACCACCGGATGCTTAGTATTGACAAATCAACAACTCTCTTTCATTCAGATTTCAAATTTTCAATCAAATAGGGGTGTAAACGATCCGAGTTTGAGCGAGCCTATGCTCGACTCTTGTTTTGCTCATTAAAAATACCACAGTTCGCGTTCAATTCATTTATATATCGAGTACAAAAAATTTCTACATGTTCGACTCGTTTATTTAGCAAGATGAACACGAGTTGTTCGCGAACTATTTGCTTTGACATCTCTAATCACGCAGCAGTAGGAAGTGAAGGTTTGCGGAAAGATTTAAATCTTATTATTTACATGAAAAAATTTATTTCATTGAATTTAATACATTTTATTATATTTTTTAATTAATAATTTTAATTGATTTTAATTTTTTGTAGCCTTGTATTCAATGAAATTATTTAAAAATAATAAAATAATATTCATTAATTATTTATATATAATGTAATATAATTATTTCTAATCAAAACAAGGCTCGTCTATATATTCAGCGTAGAAAAAATTGCTTGTGTTTTGTTCTTGTGAGAGTTATAGAATGAACCAAACATGAGCTGTTTGTGAACAAGTCATTGCGACAATCCTACTATGAAATATTAAAATTCAACATAAAAGCGAAATCCCTATTTTTCATTTTTATAAAATTTTCTATAGTTTGATCGTGGCTCGCATAAATATGTGAGCGGTTAATATATAATTATCCATATTTCATATTGTTTATATGTAATTATCCCCATTTTCAAGGCATTTCTTTGTTACAACTAGAAACAACAGGCTAAAATTTTTTGAAGTTTATTATGTGTGCAACCAATTTGTTTGGTCTTAAAAAAAATTACATGATGTCAATAAAGAATGCAAGACAAGTAAGAGAGTGCAATTTTGATGTGTAGGCTGAATTATAAGATCTACGGGCAAAACAGAAAACATATGAGCGAGCAGCCAACAGAAAATAACTAGAGTAGGAGAATATAACAAATAGAGAAGCTTGTTGATCATTAATGAATTATGTAACCATTATTGCCAACAAAATAAGCTCCAGCATAGGGAGTAGTTATAATAGGGTGTTGTAAACAAAGTAAGTTCCAGGACAAAATAAGTTCTAGGACAAATAATAGGTAGATGAGGAGAATGATAACTAGCTGATATAAAGAGGGATTTCACCTCTAAATTTTCATATCCTACTTTTTTGCCTAATGATAACAATTTTTTTTTAGAAAGATGTCAATAGCAACAATTACTGTTAAATTGTAATTTCTTTCTAATCAAGTATAGGGAGTTATATGAACTATGAGAACTTTTTTTTAGTGAGATTGCATTTTATAGTTTCAATATTGTTGGATCCTAAATTGACCCGTGGATAACGCCTGAGAAATAATGTGTTAGTCGGATGAAAAAAGAGAGAAGAAGATTTGAGCATTTTGTACTTTTAGTGAGGATTCTATCCTCCATCTATATTTTGAAAATAATCCTCCTATTTATAGTTTATAGGTAGGATTTGTAAGTTACATGGTTATCTCATATTAAAGAGCAGCGTTACTAAAATTATGAGTTGTTACATTACACATTTGTAATTGAATGTCATTTATCCCGACCCCAAAGCCTATGCTAATGCTGCTATGCTTATATAACTGCTTTGAACCTTCATTTGCATTTGTAATTTTTCAATTTGGTTGCTTGGACATATGGTTGGCCGAGATTCTTTCAGCTGACCCAACATCATTCAATAATCTTCAATGATCTTAGGGTAGGATTAGTTCATCGGATAGAGGGTAAATCAATGTAATCCAAGAAGTAGACTACATTCGGTCTGTGTCTATACTAAAGTACCTCATCATGTGCTATTTGTTAAGATGGTAGTTACTAGGTAGTTGGTGCTAATGCTGTCGTCGGTGCTTGTCGGGTCGTTCACTCTCTTCATTCGGTTGGTCTATGAGACCGACCAATTATTTATACGAATAATCCATGCTCTTTATGTCTCTTATCATTTCTCCTTGAGATTCGTGTAGGCACATTCCTAATGTACATAATTTGGTTCCCAATTCTCTTAATTCTGTAAAAGTGACAGCTGCCAAAAGAATAAGAAAATTAAATAACACGATTGCTCATATAATGAGTACTAAAAATCATAATAATTTATACTCATTTGATTCATGTGTCACCTTTTCCTATAAATAGGACTCTGAGTGTGTTTTTCTCTTTTCCCATCCCCTGCATCTTCTTCTTCTGACTCGGTCATCTAAGCGAACAAATATGTCGGGTGTCAAAAAACTAATAAGTGAGGAAGCCTTACTGAAGGCTTTTGGCCTCCCAATTTCTAGAACCTGCCTTGCAGAAGACAAAAAAAAATCAGATAGTTCTCGCGCACTTCTTGAGAAAAAGGCGAGTTTAGAGTCACATCCAATTGAGAAAAGGAAAGGGGATGAGAAGAAAACGGTCGGTGGAGCCGGCTGAAGTGATAAAACCATTCAAGCAACTAACCACAAAACTACCTTATGTGGAAAGGTTGGTGAATCATCTAACTTAACACTGCTTATAATGAGGAGTCGGAGGGGGGG